AACAGTTATTGACAAGGACAAGGTTCACGACAGGGCCTGCCAACCTGGCTGCCGATGGGAATCACTGGATAGCTACACAGAATACCAGTGCTTGGGCCCTACCCAAGCTTTCTCAGTGACTTAGGATCCTTTCAGCTTCTGGCTGCAGCATCCCTAACATGTGGTCCAAAATGCAGCCCCAGCATTTACATTGACGTGCTAAGCTGGGCGTGGGGAATGTCCAGCCTGTGGGCCTCATGAAGCCTGTATAGTCCTCAAAGCCAGCTAGCGTCACACATCTCCTCAAAGGGAAGCAGCTTCAGCCCTACGTTAGGAGTGAGTGAATGAGGTGTGTGACTGGTACCGCCTGGGATGATGTTCTAACTCTCCAGCTGGCCCTTGGCAGCAGGCGGCTCCCCACCCCTGTTGTACGTAGTGGGGCAGTGCAAGAACGCAGGGTGAGTCAGCTGTCTCCCATGGCAGGGCCCTAGAAGCTGCCACTTGATGCTTTTGTTTACACCCTTTTGCCCGCAGTCTCACTGTAAAGCAGATCTGGATAGTTCTCCTCCTTCGTTTCGCCCAGGTAAAACATTCTGTTCTTGTGGAAGAAGGGAGGACTGGTTGTTTTGCATTAAGCTAGTTTCTCTTCCACAAAGGATAATAGAGGTGGTAATAGGATCTTTAGAAGAGCTGGTGGTTTGAAGTTGGGAAGTGCCAATGGGGGGGGGGGGTTGTCAATGGATGTAAAAGAGGGAGGAGCCTTCCGTTGAGATAGATGCTGTTCATTGAGCGATTTCCTTCAGGGACAACCTGGTGTGGGGCAAGAATGGGAAATCAAGAACACGGGATTTTCCTGATGACGACGTTCATTTTGCTACCCAGTCCACCTCAGGGCTTCTTTTCCTCCCTCACTGGTATACATGCCACTATCATAAGTCGCTGCCTTGCAAATACCCTCGAGTCCCTGTTACTTCTCTCCATAGTACTGTAGAACCGCCCAACTCTGTGTAAGCTTCCCTGTCCGCCTCTTCCACATACAATGGATGACAGAAGGTCACGTGAGTTTTCGGCAGGGCTGGCAGTCCTGCAGCGTTTCTCTAGACTGTGCCCAGTCCCACTCCTGAGAGCACCCACGGGGGACTTGCTGGTATCCCAGTGACACTGACCAGCGCAGCAGCAGCAATCAGACGGTCCTTCTCTGCATATAGGCATGTCCTCTGATGGGGCCGTCTGCTGCTGCTGGGAAAGGCTAAGAGCCCGCCTGCCCGCTGCCTTGGACATGAGGCTCATGCCTGCCTTTTTATGTACCTGTCTCCTCAGGTCCCGCTTTCCTCTCCTGGATTGTTCTCACAGGTATGCACCCGGGCTCTAGCATAGCCCGTGAAAACAAACAACTAAACCACCCACTTATCTTTGTCCTCACATTCCTGTGCAGACAGCCCCCCACTTCGTGGCTTTCTTTCCCAGTAGAACTTCTTGAAGCCGTTGTCCGCACCTCCGATGACTTCAGCTCCTCAGCCTCCTCCAACTCCTCGGCTCTCCCAGGCTGCTTCCATTCTCACGGTGCTAAACACGGTCTGTACGAGGCCATTGCTTCCAAACGCGGTGGTCGAGCTCCCCCCTCTTCTCACCTGACCTCGGAAGTAGCTCCTTTCTGTGTGACTCCGGTGTTCTCTTGTAGCCTCCTGACAACCTGCCCCCACCCCACCTTGTTTTCCTGTTGTGTGACCCCTTGTAAAATGTCTGTAATGGTTCTCGTCTGCCCTGATTGTGGAAATGAATTGCTCTGGGCCCTAGTCCTGAGCCTTTCCCCCAGATCTGTTGTTTCATAAACCGTCATGATCAGTTGGCCTTTGCCTTGGTTTTCCTGAGCTGGACGTTGATTTAGGGTTAATCACTGGAGGCTGGCTGAGCCAGCAGGGACGCACTGGATGCCTCGCACTGACTAAGCCTTGCACGGCATGATGGCATCTCTCATGGCCACGTGGTGCCACTGATAAGAGCCCTGAACCCAGTGCTCAGAGGAACTTCAGGGTTGGTGACCACATGTAGCAGAGAGAAGCATGCTCCTCTTTGAGACGGGAACGCTCTTCCCCAACCTCACCCTCAACTGAGTCATTCCAGTGAATTATTGGATCCAAAGGATTAGTGGGACTAGAGGGATTCCTAGGGGTTCCTGTGGTGGTAGGTGGTCCCTGAGAGGGAAAAGAAAACATAAATCCAAATGGGACTGAGTGGTGTGAAGTCATGCGAACTCTGGAGTTTGTGGCTGGTCCCTGCTGACCTTGTCCTGGGCTGCTCGGGTCAGAGTGACGGCCTGGGCCTGGGCTACGTGGGCCACTGGGATCTGCCCTGAAGAGGACAAGGAAGCTAAGATTTCTACAGGACACAGTGGCTTGGAGGATGGGATTTGTCACCTACCACATCGCTTGGTGTCAGAAGCGGGGGATCTCAGATGCTCTTGGGATATCCTAGAATCATCTCAACCCGTGTGTGCCCCAAATGGGACTCTTGGTTTCCTCCCATCTGCCTGGCATCCCTGTACGTTTCTCCATCCCCGGAAGTGCCACCACCCCCTATGGAGTTGCTGACGTTAACGACTACGCTCAGGCCTTGATTGCCTTCTCTCACTTACTGTCAGTACATCCATTCATCAGCCAAGCGTTCAGTTCCACCCCCAACATACGCCCCAAGTCCCCATCATTCTCTGCATCGCCTGCTGCCTTCACCCTGGCCCAAGCCACCGTTCTCTCCCACCTAGCCTGTGTCCCCCGAACCTCCCTGCCCCCACTTTCTCTTGTCACGGTACAATCTCTGGGAGGGAGTGGCAGAGTACTCTTTAAACAGATCCGTCAGTAACTCGGTATCTTCCTCTGCCCTCGATTAAAATCCCGGCTCTACCTGGCCCCCGTGTGTGATCGGATGCCCGCCCGTGTCTCTGACCTCTCCTGTGCCACCCCCACTGGAGACACACCGTGTGTGTTCACCTGGGGCCTCGCGCTTTCTCTCCTGCTTCCTGAGCAGCCACTTCCCTTCCTCCCGGTTGCAGTGCCACCTCCCCAGAGAAGCCTTCTTTAAAGTAACTCCCTCCCAGCGTCTCCCCGCGTGGTTACCTGTTCCTTGTCTGTCTTACTCCATGAGAAGAGGGGCCTGGTCCACCTTGGTCATAGTAGCGTCATCATTAACTGCTAGTAGATGCTAACTGTTGTTGACCACTCGCAATAAGTAGGTTTTTGTTTTGTTTGGGGTCTTATCATTTCCATTACCATCTCCCGATGTAATTATGACTGGCACCAAGAATTGTGACTTCTTGATTCCCATTTCTTTCTAGGCTTTCCTTTGTTTATTGGCATATAACCTCAAACAATTCCGTAGTTCAGTTACGTCACGAGGAGCAAGAAGTGTACAGTCATCACCACCATCCGTTTTAGAACATTTCCTTCATTCTTTAATTTTTATTTTGTAAAACCGTTTTATTGGGGGCTCGTACAACTCTTATCACCATCTATCTGTCCATCGTGTCAAGCACATTTGCACATTTGTTGCCATCATCATTCTCAAAACATTTGCTTTCTACTTGAGCCCTTAATATCAGCTCCTCGTTTTTCCCCTCCCTCCCCTCCCCCACGAACCCGATAATTTATAAATTAGGATTATTTTGTTATATCTTACACTTCCTGTTTCTAAGAGCAGTAATTCTCTTGCTACCTCTTTCTAATCCATGAGGGCTAAGGCAGCGGTTCTCAGCCTTCCTGATGCCGCCCTTTCATACAGTTCCTCATGATGTGGTGACCCCCAACCATAAAATTATTTTTGTTGCTACTTCATCACTGTCATTTTGCTACTGTTTTGAATTGGGCAACCCCTGTGAAAGGGTCATTTGATCCCCAAAGGAGTCGCGACCCACAGGTTGAGAACTGCTGGGCTGGGGAAACCAGCTAATTAGCTCTGGTAAAAATGACATGTGAAGGATGGGAGAATTCAGAAGTCAAACAGCATAATTAGTGAGGGGTCATTTGTGCCTGCTGCCTCCTGACCTTGAGCCTTTTTGTCTTGTTTTGTGTTTGCACAGAGAGATCTCAAAGCTGGCTGGCCCAAATCTTTTTATCAGTTGAGTCTTGCAGGAGATACGAGGGAAGAAGAGAGGTTGGGGGCGCTTTGAGCCATAAGCCAGAGAAGGGCACCAAGTTCTCTGTGAGAAGTGGCTCTTGATACAGCTGCCTTGGCTGGCTGTAGGGGCGTGCTCTTTGAGAAATGACCTCTTTAACATAGATGGACTTTTTATCCTTATCGCCAGAGATTACCTTATTTAACACGTTTCGAGACAGTGTTTTAGATCCTGGTGTTTTGAACATAGAATTGTTGCTTTCCTTTGAAGTTTTCAAGTTGCCCGGATGTGGGAGTTATGAAGGCTCCGGGGTGTTGAGTGCATCGCCTTGCCGCAGAAAGGAGACTTCCCTTCTGGTCTCAAGTAGGCTGTGTAGTGTTACCAGGGAAATGGCGGTGAGTGGGACATGCCCCTCCTCTCAGGAAACACAGGGTTTAGGTTGAGGAGCACAGATGTAAAGACTATTAACTGTGAAATGCTGTGTCCAGAACTGTTCCATGTATTGAGTTCTAGCGCCTCTGAAGAATAACTCCCTGGGTTTTGTCCAAGGTGGGTGTGACAGTAAACCTTGGCCATTAGTGGGTCATGAAGAACCCTGGTGATGCAGTGGATACAGTGCTTGGCTGTTCACCAAGAGGTGCGTGGTTCAAATCTCCCATCTGCGCCACAGGAGAAAGAGGTGGCAGAGCTTCTATAGAGACTCACAGCCTTGGGAAGGCAGTTCGACTCTGTAGGGCCACTGCGAATCAGAACTGACAGCAGTGCACTTAGTTGGCCGGGAGGTGAAGAAATTCCTGTGTGCTAATTTTTGTTGTATATTTAGTCATTTAATTTATTTATATTTAGTATTTGAATAGCCGTGTCAATACATCCATCTTCTGTGTGACCTAACTGTGTCTCTTCCTTCCTCCAGTGGTTTCTAATCGCCAACCGATCGTACAAAGTCAGCGCAGCGAGCTCCTTCTTCTTCAGCGGTGTGTTTGTGGGAGTCATCTCTTTTGGCCAACTCTCAGATCGCTTCGGAAGGAAGAAAGTCTACCTCGCAGGTAATCTGTGATGGCCGGCACCCAGGAGCTGAGCAAGGGGACAGGTCTCCTTCAGGCCCCCAGGGAGCTAAACAAGGGGGACTCTCTGTTCTCTTCTGATGGCCACGGGGTGGCGGTGAACGGGAATCAACTCAGCGGCATCGGGTCTTTGCTTCAGGTGCTCAGAGACCCGCCGTGTGCACACGGAACCCATGTTTATCACCTTGGCAGGAGGCCAAACTGCGGTAGAGTCCTTCTGGCCAAGCATATGCTAGTGGCCAGCACACCTGGTCAAGGTTAGATGTTGGCAGTATACACATTTCTTAGATAATGGTGTGCTCTGTAACCTCCACACCCCAAGCGATGGCCTGTTTTTAAGGAGAAAAGTCAGCGATTGAGACAGTCTGCTAGATACCTGGCCTCCTGTCTCTGTGGGGATTCACTGAACATGAGCTCCGAGGGGCTCCCCATCGATTTCTCACAAACGCAGTCCAAAGAAGACGTTCACGTCCTGGTGTGATTGCGATTAACTAAACACTGTGATGGACAGAAATCAACTTGTAACAAAGAAAAGAAAAAACATTTTTTTCAATTTTTCTTTATAGTTTCTAAGAAAAACTTAAGGGGGGGGGGGAATATACCAGCTCAGACAATTTAAAGGCACGAAGAAGACTCATGTTTACCAACTAATGGATATTATTTGTAACGCTCATCCAATGCCGTTTTGCCTCTGAATAATCGGATGCTGTCCTTCTCTTGCTAGGTTTTGCTCTGGACATCTTATTCGCTATTGCAAACGGGTTTTCCCCCTCCTATGAGTTCTTTGCAACAACTCGCTTCCTGGTGGGCATGATGAATGGAGGGATGTCGCTGGTGGCCTTTGTCTTGCTAAACGAATGTGTGGGCACCGCCTACTGGGCACTGGCAGGTACTGCGCAAACCCCGGCCTTCTGGAGATGGTGAGCAGCTCCAGAGAACCCCGTAGAGCGTCCATGGAACCCGAAAACACGGTTCCATTCAAGTGACTCCACCCCCAGTTAGCCTTGCTTTCTGTGACCGGGAATGAATCATTCTATAACTACCTCTCTGCTAAGTCTCCCCCAGCCCATGCCTCACTGGGACTGCCAACAGAGGATTGTAGAGTGAGATCACCCCGGAAGGCAGTCACTACAGAGACTGTATCTGCCTTTACCTTACACTGCAAAAGGGTGCTCAAGTAGGAAATAGGAGAAACTTCCTGTTTGAAGCTTTCTTATTATATCTTATTAAATCCCTCCTTAAAAAAAAAAAAAACAAAAAACCCTGTTTCCGTCAAGTCAGGAGAGAGTTCTAACGTAGAGGTTTTTAGTTAAAAATATTTTTTTCACTGATTCCTTTTTCTAAATTGAACCCATATTGTATGGTTTTTAACAACCCTCTCCCCTCAAGCACGACGTCTATATAGTCAAAGAACAGGTCGAGAGGGTTATTGGACTGAAACTACTGTCCTCGGAGAGTGTCAGTGCCGACAAGCCTGCTCTCTGGGCAGTACCGGTTTGTCTTGCTCTCCGTTCTTTGGATGAGTCCTGAGAACTCCTGGTGTCTGGTCTCCGTGTGGGAAGCAGCTGATGGGGCAGCTTCAAGGCAGGCATCTAAGGAGTATCTGTATGTTGAAGAGTACCTCTCTCTTTGCTCTTAAGTAACACACGGAACCACATTGGCCGGCGTCTCTGTGCCCCAGGGAGCGTGCTTGCATTTGACCTGGTTCTGCTATGCCCGTGGTATGCAAGCGAGAGCTCCTGCCCACACGTTACAGATGAGGCAGCTGTGACGCCATCCGGGTTGCTCAGAGCTCAGGCCCTTGGGACTGCCTTGTGTCCTTCCCCTGCTGTGAGACCCCTCCTTGGGACCCGACAAGGTGACCTTACCAGTCCCGGCAAGGCGGACTGCCCTCTTTCACTGGTGTTGCAGGGGCTAGTGGATTGAGCTGGAAGGTAAGTAAAAGACACCCGCGCTCCATTTCCCCTAAACCTCTATCCACCTTACAAGGTGAATTAAAACAAAGCAAAACAAGTAGATTCCGACTCACAGCGACCCTATAGGACAGGGTAGAACTGTTCCCAGTGGATTTCCAAGACAATAGCTCTTTACAAGAGTAGAAAGCCTCGTCTTTCTCTCGAGGAGCAGCTGGTGGTTTTGAACTACTGACCATGTGATTCGCAGCCCAGCCCGTAACCATTACACCACCTTGGGGTAATTAGCGCCCGAGTCATAGCTGCCTGGCAATGCTCGGTGGTTCATTCCTTCTGTAACAGCTTCCAAAGCCTTTTTCAACCCGCTGCCTTGTCCCCTGGCCCAATCCATGGGCTAGGACCAGTGGGACTCTGAGATGCCGATTCCCATTGAGACCGTAGTGCATTTTTTCCGGTAGCGGGGTGTCAGACCTGCTGGAACTTCCCAAGAAATTAATGTAAATAGAAGTCACTGCCACCCTGTCTGTACCCAGAAGAGGCCCAGGGGGCTCTGATTTCAGTTTTCCTGAGCTCCCAAATCTTGCTACTAAGACAGCCTCAGTCAGCACATGCCCGTATCCAACGGTTCACATCTTATTCGAGGTGCTCCGCGCAGGTGCTCTTGTGAGAGCCAGCGTGCTGCCCTGAGCCTGCCAGGTGGGCCGAGGCCTGTCCTTGTCCTGTTGCATGTGATGGACACAGAGGGACCTGGTCTCCTGCTTCCTTGTCAGTCGCTAAAGCCAGTGAACGTCCTTGAGTTTCGCCTTCGTACCCTTGAAGCTGTGTTATGATGAAGCTATTAAAATTTCTGTAGAAATGATAAGGGGGTGGCGTAGCTAAAGGAAGGGTGGGGTGGAGAATGACAGTGGAACCAGATGGTTGCCAAATTCAGTGTGAAATTCAAAGCGACTGAAGAGTCTCCTGCAGGCCCGAGCTCGGACCTGCACCCAGGACAAAGGAAGTGCTAGCTGGTGCTGGAGCCCTGTGGGCTTTCCTGCTCTCCCACAGCCCAGGGGCTCCCCAGGCCTGTCCTGGGATTGTCTTCTCAAGCTGCTTTCGCTCGCCCACAATCTCTTTGTAAATGCCTGTGCTTCTCTCAGGAGCTCTGCTGTCATAGCGATTACACGTGCTACTGACTGCAAGCCAGCAGTTCAAAACCACCAGCTGCTCCACAGGGGAAAGGCTTCTACTCCTGGGAAGAGTTACAGTCTCTGAAACCCACAGGGGCAGTTCGTCCCTGCCCAGTAGGGTCACAATGAGTCAACGGCAGTGAGTTTGTTTTTAGTTGGGTAGCTTCACAGAAGAAGCCCAGGCAGCGCTATGGGGTAGGCCTTGGACTGCTTACCACAAGGTCGGCAGTTCAAAACCCACCAGCTGTTGCAAGGAAGGAAGGTGAAGCTGTCGGGCCTCATAAAACTTTACAGCCTCGGAAGCCATATGTGGGGTGGCTGAAAGTTGAAACTGGTCAGCAGTGGATTGGGGTTTGGGTTTGGGTTTGGGGGCTTCAAGCTTGCTGAGGAATTACAAGAAGTTGGAATACACCTAAATGTAGAGCAAGAAGGGGTGTGGACCCTGCTCTAAAAAGTAGAGTCTTAGTGATAGTCACTCTCCCCAGACAGCGTTTTCAATCAAGTAACCTATTGACATCATGTGTTTGACTGGCTGTGATGTTATGGAGAAGGGGCTGGGATGGCTAAAAACGATACAGAATACGAGTTCGATTTCAGGAAGTAAGAATCAGTAAAGGCCTGTTACTGTCATGTCAGCTCCTGGCTTGCAGAGAGCTGGGGGTGGGGGTGGGGGTGGGGCACAGGACAGGGCTATGGAATAAGGAATTAATAACCTATAATCAGGCTCAAAGAAAGGTGTCTCTCCTGTTTCCTATATGGGCTCTTTTTCAGGTTAGATTTAAATGGAAACACTGGCCTAATGATCCAGCAGTGAGAAGTTAGTTTGGCAAATTCTGCTGAGAAAACCTGTGAGAACACAGTGCGGTGACGTGGAACAGCCTCACTCAGCGAGTGTCCCACCTTTGACAGGGCTCTGTCTTAGCACCAGTATTTTTCTCCTTTTAGCAGAAAATATTTGAGTTTTCCTTCTCTGACCGATTTCCATCTTACGCAGTTCCCGCTTTTGCAAGTTTTATGGTTCTTGGCTGCAAAATAATCCGGGGTGCGCTCTCTATAAAACAGAGGGTGAAGCCTGTGCACAAAAGCCC